CTCCACCTCATCTCTCTCTTCTCTCCCCCACTTTCCACCCATCTCTCCTTTCCTCCCCCCTTACTTTTCTTTCCTCACCCCAACCGGTCGAGGCAGATGACCGCCCACATTGAGCCTGGTTCTTCCAGAGGTGTCTCCCTTTAATGAGGGAGTTTTTCCTCCACAGTCGCCTGTGCTTGCTCATTGTGGGAACTGTTGGGTTTCTCCATGTTAATATTGTTTTAAGGTCTTGACCTTTAAATGTAAAGTGCCTTGAGATAATGTAAATTATGAATTGGAGCTATATAAATAAAATTGAATTGAATTGAATTTACTGTGAATGACTCGGAGGAAGTTTGTGTGAAGTCTCTGACCCACTGACCTAATGAGTAACTACGGTTCTCAGAGTAGTAACTCTGTGTATGTGTGTCACCTGTGCACAAAGTTAACGGTTCCATCAATGGGGTCGATGATCCAGGTGGGGGCGTCACTGAGCTCCACACTTTCACCTGCAGCTACAGACTCCTCCCCTATGAACCTGAGGGTCATGGGTCACAGGTCAGATTCTGTCCAATTAGATTCAATTAAAGGACCAGACAGAACAGACAGAACCTGTGCAGTGGATATCGGTTCTTGATTGAATTGATCAGGATCTTCTCGACCTGTTGATCAGTTTCCGTCACCAGATCAGCTGGAGAACTTTTCAGTTTCACTTCTTTCTGCTGCTGAATCGCTGACAAGACGACCTGAGAGCATAACAATAATGAATCATTGATGTTGGATGTTTAATCATTTTAATGACGTTGATCAATTTAATTAAGTTTAATCATTTAATTAAGTTTCTTGACCTTCTCTGATTGGTCATTTCTAAATGTGATGTCACTGCTCCTGATGTTTGAACCAGTGCTGCGTTCTGATTGGTTGCTGCATCTCTTACCTCACTGGCCTGTTTGGCTACAGTCAGGCCAAAGTTCAAACAGTCACTCCAGTCGGCCATGATGGACAGATGAAAAAGTGACAGAGTGAGACCTCCTGTCAGACAGAGGAGAAGAGCACGGTGATAAGAAAGAGAAAGTCATGACGTGAAATCAAAGAAGGGAAAGGAAAGAAAGGATGGATGACGAGCATGAAACAGTGTTAACAATAGAAACAGTAGAAACAGTTGAATCAATAGAAACAGTTAAATCAATAGAAACAGTTGAATCAATAGAAACAGTTGAAACAATAGAAACAGTAGAAACAGTAGAAACAGTTGAATCAATAGAAACAGTTGAATCAATAGAAACAGTTGAAACAATAGAAACAGTTGAAACAATAGAAACAGTAGAAACAGTTGAATCAATAGAAACAGTTGAAACAATAGAAACAGTAGAAACAGT